TGGGCAGCCGAAGGGCTGGATGGCTGTGAGGAGCGGAGCGGGGAGGTCAGTGCCTAACGCAAGGAGGACGTCAGGTTTTTAGGATGTAGCTTTGCCCCAGGCTCCCCAGACATGAATCAGTTTATAGAGGCGGCCGCCAAGGCCAGGAGTGTAAAAGGGGTCACACGGGTGTTGGACACTTCCGCGCATCTCCAGATCTACCAACAGCCGAAGGGCTGGATGGCTGTGAGGAGCGGAGCGGGGAGGTCAGTGCCTAACGCAAGGAGGACGTCAGGTTTTTAGGATGTAGCTTTGCCCCAGGCTCCCCAGACATGAATCAGTTTATAGAGGCGGCCGCCAAGGCCAGGAGTGTAAAAGGGGTCACACGGGTGTTGGACACTTCCGCGCATCTCCAGATCTACCAACAGGCTTTTTTTCCTTGGCTCAGTGCTGAGAGCCAGCCGGTACTGCTGAGCTTCGAGTGAGCGTGGCTTTGGCGTTCGTGTATTTCTGATCTGCTGCCACAGAAATGAAGGGTTTGCCATGAGAGCTGTCTTCTGTTGGGCAGAATGGCATGTTAGGTTGTTCTGGTCCTTGTTTTGCCTTTAAAAAAAAAGATATTGCTAAAATGTGGGCAGGATATTGAGCATCGTATTTCTACGTTTAAGCAGAGTGCAAACAGTTACTGCTTAGGTGGAGTTGGCAGGTTTATCAGTCCGCTCTGGGGTTCCTGCAACTTTCTGCTCCGTTTTCAGATACAACCTGGGAGCAGGCGATGCCCTGAGCCCCACGGCATCTGCAGCCTTGTGATCCCAAGCTCTGCTTGCTCAGCTCTTGAGCGCTGCTGAGCTGACCCACCGATGAATTAGAGATCGGAGAAGGCTTATGGAGACACGCGGCTGGCAGCAGCAAAGATGCACATTGTGATCGTCTGCTTTGACGTTGTTAAAGGCATCTGTAATGCGGATGCTGCTGCTTGAGGCCACGGCGTGTGGGAATCGGGGCGCGGGGGCTAAAGGGAGCCAGGGTGGAAGGGCACTGCCTCTGGAGCACGCTCTGGGAAAGGGCTTCTCTAACAAACTCAGTAGCCTCCCAGCGATGCTAAATTATTAAACAACTTACTAAAATAACATTGTTAACATGCACTGGGGTAAGGATTATGAGAAAGATAAATGGGTAGTGTCCACAACAAAAAGCTAATGAAAAATACTGTCTCATTGCATTATGTTGCATAACCACATACAGACCTGAAATAAATGACTATGGTTATTTTTTTGTCATATAATGCTATGAAAACTCTGCACTTTATGGAAATATTTGCATGAAAGGGATACCAGTGCAGTGCTCCATGTAATTATGCATGGAATTAGAGGAAATTCTGAAATTATAGTATACAGAGGTACATTAGTTTTTTAGAGAATTTTTAGGACAAAAGAGTGGGAGTGAAGTAAGGCAGTTTATTCCTTTTTTTTTGGTTTTACTCTCTTGGCGCATGGGGATGATGGCAGCCCCAAGAGAAGTTCCCCTGCCCGTGAGGGGTGCTCCAGCGTGCTGCTGAGCCGCGGTGTGTCAGCCCCTACCAAATTCTCGGCAGCGGAGACTGGAGACAGACAGCTGTGTGAATACGTTTGGAGGCAATTTTCTCTCATGGATAATTCACAAGATATAATTATCCAGGCAAAGAGAGCTGATGGCATGAAACCCATCTAAAATATGGCCCAGTCTCAAACTGGCTCCAGGCTCCTGCTTTATCCAATAATTTCCGTACAAGAAATAGTCTCTCTTAGTGCCTAGGAGGGATGCTGGTATAATACCTGTATTCTGTAATACATCTTCTTTTGTATTTTTTTTTCCATTAACATTTAAAATCCTGATACACAAAGATGCCTTTCATCTTCGCACTCAGTTGTGCGTGCATTTCACAGCTAGACTTTCCTTGCCAGGCTTACAGACTTCCTCTCACTACCTCTGCCCAGAAGATAAAATTGTGATTACAGCATAATGTGTCATGTCTAAATTAGTACTCACAGAAGAGGCAGAGAGTAAATGACATTTGAAACGGTCATCATATAGATCCTGATCTTCATCAGCGCGAGCTCTTGCAGAGATGTTTTGATTTCCTAGTCCAAATAGTGCTAATGTGTGTGTGTAAATGAATACATGGCTGCATACATATCTGGACACACTTTGCTCTAGGAGATGTAGCCAGGATTTATCCCGTTCATTAATAACATATTGAGGTTATTAATGATAGACATTGATCAGAGTTTACCAAGAGACCAGAAAACTTCTGCGTCGACAAAAATGGAAGAAAACTGATGCGTTCCATATCATAGAATCATACAATGGTTTGGGTTGGAAGCGACCTCACAGCCCATCTCGTTCCACCCCCCTGCCATGGGCAGGGACACCCTCCACTAGCCCAGGTTGCCCAAAGCCCCATCCAACCTGGCCTTGAACACTGCCAGGGAGCCAGGGGCAGCCACAGCTTCTCTGGGCAGCCTGTGCCAGGGCCTCAGCACCCTCACAGGGAAGAATTTCTTCCTCACATCTCATCTTCATCTCCCCTCCTTCAGCTTCAGGCCATTCCCCCTTGTCCTGTCACCCCCTGCCCTTGTCACCAGTCCCTCTCCAGCTTTCCTGTAGCCCCTTCAGGGACTGGAAGGGGCTCTAAGGTCTCCCCGCAGCCTTCTCTTCTCCAGGCTGAACAACCCCAACTCTCTCAGCCTGTCTCCACAGCAGAGGTGCTCCATCCCTCTGATCATCTCCATGGCCTCCTCTGGACTCGCTCCAACAGCTCCATGTCCTTCTTGTGCTGGGGACCCCAGAGCTGGATGCAGTACTGCAGGTGGGGTCTCACAAGAGCAGAGTAGAGGGGGAGAATCCCCTCCCTCGACCTGCTGGTCATGCTGTTGGGGATGCAGCCCAGGACACCGTTGGCTTTCTGGGTTGCAAGCGCACACTGCTGGCTCATGCTGGGCTTCTTGTCCCCCAACACCCCAAAGTCCTTCTCCTCAGGGCTGCTTTCAATCCATTCCTTGCCCAGCCTCTAGTCATGCTTGGGATTGTGCCGACCCATGTGCAGGACCTTGCACTTGGCCTTGTTGAACTCCATGCAGCCATGGGCCCAGCTCTCCAGCCTGTCCAGGTCCCTCTGGATGGCATCCCTTCCCTCCAGCGTGTTGACCCACCACACAGCTTGGTGTCGTCAGCAAACTTGCTATAGGAAGTCCAAAAAAGGCCTTTGGAAATGCTCTGAAATTGCAGATTGACCCAGGGTGAGATCTGCATTCTCCTGATCTCCAGGAACGGTTCATTTCCCACCTGGCAGAGCGTGAGGGCTTTTGGGCTTCCTGGGGTCCAGAGCCTGTTGTTGCAGCAGCTCTGGTGGACTGCAAACCTCAATGCCAGCGGTTTCTTCTGCCTGACTTAGTTAGTTCATGCTGCATCAGGTTTTGTCAAAAAGC